CCCTCGTGCGTCACCCCTTGGTCGCGGCTACTTCCAGGGGTGACCATTTCTTGTGCGAGGGAGGTGACCATTTCTTACGAGGGCGGTCACCTCTCAAAAATCAACGACCAATAAGAAAACACACCCCTTCCAAATTACCGATTCCGAGGTAATATCGACAGCTACTTTGGCGAAAGAGGACAGAACACGAATATATCTCGTACAACACATAGCTAATTCAAGAGAAGAACACGATAATATTTCAACTATCACAATCAACACGCGTCTAAGTCGCGAACAGTAATCTTTGAACATCTCAAATATTACATTTAAATCACGAACGAACTCATTTGTATCTCGAGTAATAAAGACCGAAACCACGAACGAATCGACTAATATCTCGAATAACGAACTTTCAATCGAATCGTAACATCACGAATTATCACTTAAAACCAGGCCCAGAGCTCGTTAAATCGTGACTGGGTCAGAACAGTGTCGGGTGCCCGAATCCGCGCTGTTTACGCAACATTTTTTGGTCCTTCGAGCCGGATATCGGTGTGTATTGGTGCTATCGAAGAAGAATTCTGAGCTACTACATCACTGGGTCCAACAACACGAGGCAGCAGCCAAGGACAACAGGGTTGCTCCAGATCATCGTCAGGCCACGATATTCAGCGAGCACGAGAGGACTAGCACGAGGTAACGGCGTTTTTGGACAATTCAGCAAGGAGTTTCATCCACCGGCTGCGAACGAGTCCACAACGTGTTCAGCAACGTAATTCGTGAGTCAGACATATTCAATTAACTCGTCAATTTCCATATTTTTCCATCCTTCTTCCGACGTCATAATGGCCCAAGAATCGAATACGCAAAATCTCCGCGAACTTGTTCGAAAACGCGCGACAATTAAGTCTAAATTAACAGCCTTCGCGAAGTTTTTAGACACATGTCGCGAACCAGAAACCATACCTCTTAGCGAATTAAAGCTCCATACTGCGCGTCTCGAAAAAGAATTCGACGTTTTTGATACGGTTCAAAGTGCATTAGAATCGGCAGCATCTGACGACGAATACGAAATTAGGTTAAATGAACGTACCGATTTCGAAGATCACTACTACGGGATCACAGCCGTCGCGAAAGACATAATCGAAAAACACGACAAAAGCAATAATCAAATAGACGGTTTGCCACACGCCCTACAACCTTCTGGTTCGGCTGAGGCAGCCAACTTACAATCTCCGTTGACAATTCTATCCGAATCACAAATCAAGCTACCTACGATGCATTTGCCAAAGTTCAGCGGAACATATGAAGCATGGCCCGGCTTCGCGGACGCGTTTAAATCTGCTGTCCACGAAAATCCAAGCTTCCGCGACGCGCAGAAACTCATTTACCTAAAATCTTGCTTAACGGGAAAGGCGGCGGAAAAGGTCGAATCACTGGAGACCACCGCAGCAAATTATTCAGTAGCGTGGGATATCTTAGATAAATATTACAACGATCCAAGCGTAGTCATTAACAACCGCGTCCAAGCATTTTTTGATTTCATCATGTTCGTCATGTTCGCGATATAATCCCACTGCTTTGGGTGAATTAACTGACACGGCCATGAAGCACTATAACGCGCTGAAGGCACTCAACAAGCCGTTTTCAGAAGCTTTCCCCATTTATGCAATTACAAGCAAATTAGACGATCAAACGCGATTACGGTGGAAGGAAAAAACACAAGGAACCGATCTTCCGACGATGGAAGAATTACTAGAATTCCTGCATAACAGGCGTAGGGTTTTAGAAACTACTAGGGTAGAACCCGCGAAACAACCACAAACACGAATTAATAACTCGACTCCAACAACACGAATTAATAACGCGACTCCAACAATACGTACACGACTAGGTCCCGTTACTAGAAATCGAGGATCACCAAACAATATCGTACCAG